CTTTTGGCAATGGTTCTGGTATTTTTAAAGTCAATTTCATGTCCTGTGGCTTTAAGGTGTTGGACCAGGGAAGATGTTGGTCTGTTGTCTGGTCCAACACCTTAAAGCCACAGGACATGAAATTGACTTTAAAAATACCAGACAAACCAACAGAAGAATAAGTGCACGCATTGAAGAACATAAGAACTCAATCAAAAAAGAGGAACCAACATCTTCCCTGGTCCAACACCTTAAAGCTACAGGACATGAAATTGACTTTAAAAATACCAGAACCATTGCCAAAAGTGAACATTTTAATAACAGAATAATCAGAGAAGCCATCGAGATAGAAAAACGCCCACACAGCATGAACAAGCGAGATGATACCTCCCGCCTACCAGCCATTTGGAAACCCGCCCTTATTGACAAACGACTCCCTAACACAAAAAATGATACCAGACCCACACTCACAAAAACCACACAGGATGTCACCACCACACATCCACGCAAAAAACAAACCCAAAGCCACACCGATGACGAGGCACGACCACAAACCAGAAGCCAGACCACAGCTGCATCATTAGCCACTTTAAACCCCTCCAATCCATACATGAAGCAAACTGACACCCTCCATGAAGAGGAGGCACGACCACGAACGCGAAGCCAGAAAATAGCAAGGCAGCCCAAAATCTTAAACCCCTCTGCAACTCAGACTAACCTGAGCACAACCAAACAGAACACTCCCCCAGCCAATCAGAGCACAGCCAAGCCCCTAACCATTCAGAACACACCTCCACCCAATCAGAACACAGCCAAGCTCCCACCCAATCAGTTCATACCCCCATTGGCAGTTAAAAGGAATAAACAGCTAAGACCACACATTGCTGCTCAAAGCTGAAAGCACCAGCCTGAAGATGACGAATGGGACTTCGTCGAAACGTCGCCAAGACACTTCCAATTTTACGTGGGAGAAAACCTGAACAACCAAAGACCTACATATATATATATATATATATATACCGTAAATGCCGGCGTACAAGGCGACCCGGCGTATAAGACGACCCCCGTCTTTATAGCCGGGCCACATTCCTAGAACGTCGTCTTATACGCCGGAAACTACCAGTATTTCCGGCGTATAAGACGACTCGGCGTATAAGACGACCCCCGTCTTTGGCGCCGATTTCAGCGCTCGCGGAAGTCGCCTTATACGTCGGCATTTATGGTATATATATATATAGCGCCAGTAACAATTAACGGTGAAAGACAGAAGCACAATGCCCATTTTGAAACTTTCATACAGCATTCTGAAAATAAATATTCTCATCTGTAGCTTCATAAATTGATAAATAAATTTGCACTTTGCCTCCTCTGAATAAAACTAATGCTTTCATTGGCTTTCAGAATGCCACCTACTTAAAATAATTACATTTTATTTATATATCAAATAGAATAATGGCATAACTTCCAATTATATAACAGAAGTAAAAAATAGTGAACTTTACTAACACGTACACTTCCACAGATAGTCCAAAGATTATAGATATCCTGTACACACCAGATAGGTAGAGATGGTAGACTCTTGAGAGACGCTAAACCCAACTATTGGTGCCATTTAGTAGAGAAATGATGTCCATTTCAATTATATTATAAACTCTAGCACATGAACTATGACGGTTTTGTAATCAAAATAAACTACCAAAAAGTTAATTTACTGCAATTTTATGCAGAAAATTCAACATTTTTAAGACATGTATGGCTTTAAAATTCATATAATTTTTGTTTAAAAATATTGCTAAAGTGTAGTGGTTAAGATGCTAGTTTAGAAACCAAGAGATTGGCCTGAAAGCCAGCTGGGTGATCTTGGGCCAGTCCCTCTCTGTCAGCTCATCTCACCGGGTTGTTGTTGTGGTAAATTGGAGGAGGAAAAAGTATTAGGTATGTCTGCCACCTTGAATTACTTATAAAATTATAAGAGCAGAATAAAAAAAAATCTAATAAATAAATAAATACAGTTAGTTTTATACAAAAAGGAGGCAAGTGGCAAACAAACTGCAAGCTTAAATAATATTAAACAGTACAATTGGTATGTCTAAAGGATTTAAAAAAAAAGTCCCTTCTCCAAGTTGTTTGAAAACCTCTGGAGATTATGTCACACTTTTTGACAACTCTGCAATAATATGTTCAAAGACGAACTACCTATGTGGATAATTTGGGAGAGATCTACTTGCATCACAAATACATGGCTAATGGAGACCTTAATATTCTACAAAAGGCAACACAAATATTTAGCAAATGTCACTAGTTTCCTCAAACTTGCAAAACTGAACCATCATAGGTACTGTACATACTAAATGCCTTATCCATTGTTACAAAATTTCTAAAATCAATGGAAAGCAGAATTCATTGTCTGTTATACATAGCCAGTTTGTAGTGATTAAAGCATTAGACTAGAAACTAGGAAACTGAGAATTTTAGGCCCATAGGCACAAAGGCAGCTGTGACTTTGGGCCAGTTATCTTCTCTCAGCCCTGGGAAGGAAGCAATGGCAAACCAATTCCAAAAAACTTTGCCAAAAAAACTGCAGAAAGCTGTCCAGGTGGCCTCTGAGAATTGGACACAATTGAATGGAAAAAAAACAGCTTATATCAAAAGCACGTGATCAACAGTGCATAATGGTACAATAATAAATAAAATAGGTTGGACACCAATACCTTAAGCCTGACTACCAGAGATAGCACATAATAAAATCACAAAAAAGCAAAAAGTTTTCTTTAAAGCCAACTTTCTTTAACTGAAACTCTCCAAACTAGATTATAATTCTTGGTCAGCAGAACCAGTAAGTCTTGTAGCAACTACATAAATGGAGAATATCAGATAGGAAAGGCTATTCTAAGCTTCTTTCTGATAATACAGAATGTTCCACTGATACATCTCATATAAAACAAATGTCCTGCATACAAACAAGTCTATCAATTTTGTTTTCTATCAAGTAGCACATTATAATAACATTCAAATATTTGTCATGTTGATTCAACTGAAATTATCCAATCTGATCTTAAATTTTCAGACTGTAAACAAAGGTTTAGAAAAAAGTACAACCCTCAACCAGGCAGTTAAGTATTGTAATGACCCAATACTTCCCAACCCAAGTAAGATGTTCTTGGCAATTCAGGATGAAATGCTGGCCTTCCATCAGCTGTTGCACTTCCTTAGGATACTTATTACATCTCAGAAACTTGTCTTTGTAAATATGAGATAAGAATACATATGTATTCCTTTCATAAGACACAACACAGGAATTATAAGTATTTAATTCCAAAAATATCTAGACAGGACCAGGCTGAAGATTGGTATAGACTTGAGTAAGTTGTGATTTAGGTGATAATACAATGTAGAGCTATGGGTGTTTGCAGCAACTCGTGGCATCTTCAAAATGATGAAACATCTCTCTTAATATGACACTGCAAGTTCTCTCATGTTTGTGTGAAAAGTCACAATGCAAGTATAACATGGCTACAGTTTGCATGCTCTGACATTGCATCTCTGGAATGCACATGGGCATAGCACAGTGACAGTGAACCTACAACACCCATGTTAAAGGTGACACATCATGATGTTTTGGGTGTCACACCAGCATTCATCAACACCTGACAACTATTCTTAAAAGCATAATCTACTTCCATGTGATTTTCAGAGGTTGCAGAGACTGTGTGAGAATGGGTGTGCTCTCAGGTAGCCTATAGATCCTCCAGAAGTCACACAAGAGACCTATGCTCTTGCATGGCATCTGGAGTGTCTGAAAATCATGTGAGAATGGGTCTTGCTCTCATGTGGCTTGGGGCAGCTTCAGAGACTGTGGAAAAGTATTTCCCAAAACCAAGTCAAGAACGAAGGCCTTGTGCAACCTGTAGCAGCTTCAGGTGGGCCACAGGGGCCTGTCCAAAGAAAGAGAACATCGCCCAAAAGATACTAGCATGTGGTGCTGCAAGGTGGCCTTTTTGATGGCAGTAGAGGCACTAGGGCTGAAGTTGAGGCAGTGCTGCCATTGAGTGCTCCTATGTCCCCCTGTTTAGGATGGCCTGGATGCAGGGGAGAATTGTTTCTCTTTGGTTTGGGGATGGAGCAAACATGCCAGCAAAGTCAAGTTAGGCATGTTCCAAATTTCTGAAAGGCCAAGCCCAAAACGTTTCTGTCACTGGCACGGGTGCTTTGGATGCATCATTCAAATCTTGAGGATGTTACCTTGAAACCCTGGACAGCTACTAAGAGCTCCAGAGCTTTACTCAACTACTCTACTGGTGGCCAGCAAGTCAGATATCATAGCCTGTTAATTAACCCTTGATATCCTCTCTAGATATCTTGGATTAAAAGCTTTGTAATCTCCAGTTGGAATTGGAGTCCAAAACATCAAGAGGAACTAAAGTCAGCAAACAGGATTCCCATTTATATTTGCTATGTTGTATCTTCCAAGACCAGCGTGCTCCTTTTTTATCAGCTGAGGATGTGAAAAAGTTAGTTCCTTAACTGTCACCAATATTTATCTAAATTAGAGAAAATATATTCAAAATCACAATCATAACACATTTCAAAGCAAAGAGATGCTTGCGGTCAGCTGTATAATCAGGGCCTAAACCAGTGACAGTTGGTGAAAGAAAATTTTGTTTTTGGACTTCTGTAAAGTTTCAAAGGAAGCACCTGGAGCAGAACCCATGATGAAGAGAGAACTCCAGGATCCTTTCCCCTGCAAAAATAAGACCCTCCCCCAAGGTAGGACCTTGGCAATCTCAAGTGACCCCCCAAACCTATGACAACCCCGGAATTGTTACAGCACGTCTCCCAGCGTCTCCCTTGTGTTGTTGTGCTTTGCCCGCGCTGCATGCAATACCTTCGATGCTGCCTTCGGCTGGGTAAAGGAAAGCAGCCCGCACTGCCTTCCCGGGGGCAGAAAAAGCGTGCCAATTTCCCGGCCTGCCCGAGGGAGCCGGATGAATGAAGTGCCCCTCTCCCGCTGCTCCACTTACAGACGACATAGGCGACCAGAGCGAGCCCCATCAACAGCTTCATCCTCCGTCTCCTATTGATGGCAGACAGCACACGCTGCAGCGACCCTTTACTCAGCATCCCCAGCCAGGTGGGGAAGACTCAGCCACGAGCAGCAGCGCTCAGCACCGCAAGGCATCAGCTTCACCCTCGGGATCCCTGAGCCGCTGCCGCCGCTGCCACCGCCACCTTGCCCGCCGCAGACTCCTCAGCCCGCCGCGCCACCAGCGGCAGCAGGAACAGTAGCCAGTCCAGTTCCTGGCAGCGACACCACGCATGCGCATATGGGTCCTCTACTTTTCTCCCCGCCCTCCCTTCGCTTCAGCCCCTGCTTCGGCAAAGCAACGGGACCCGGGCAGCGGAAGGAAAGAACCCGATGTTGAGGTGGCGGAATATGAAGTCACTTTTCCTACTGCGCTTGCGCAAAAGATTTCACCCCGCCACCTCCCCCCATCGCAGAAACGTTTCAGGCGCCTCGCGATTGTTGATGTCAGTGTGTGAAGAATCCAGTGCCCGCTTTCTTTCTTCAGATTTTACTTAGAATGGAGCAGAAACAACTGTCAGAGCACACATTTTCTTCCCATTGATTAAATCATTAGAGCTAAGGCTGTACAGTTTTTGACATTCTCAAAGCACCAAGTATATGTATATGTACATGTATAAGCGCACATTTGTTTGGTTACGTGAGAGCCAAGTTGGTGTTGTGGCACCAAATTTGGCACCAAGTTAGAAACTATTCCTACTTTAGGTACAAAGCCAATTGGGTTACTTTGGGCCAGTCACTTCTTCTCAGCCCTAGGAAGGAGGTAGTGACAAACAACCTCAGAAATCTTACCCAAAAATTCCTGGGATTTGTGCAAGCAGTTGTTAGGAGCTATCCCCCCCCCCCCACCTCTCTCTCTCTCCCACACACAAGACACACATGTATATGTGTTGTATATGTGTGACATATTTGAACTTTGGTGTTGGAGAAGATTTCTGAGAATACAATACCATGGATAGCCAAGAAAACAGACCAATAGATAATTGAGCAGATTAACTCAGAGTTGACACTCAAAGAACATGTATAGCACAGATCTTCATGAATATTTCATGGCATTGATTTAAAACTGCTATCAAAACTATCTGTGACTACAGTCTTCAAGGAGCATAGTGATTTGTATGGGGCATTTTCCCCAGAACAACTTTTCAAGAGGCAGTTTGCACTGAAAATTATGGGCTACACTGAAAATACTTTCAGTCTGATGATTCCCTATGCCCCAGGATACAAAGGCAAGAATCTTCAGTGATCTTCATGATTTTATTCATAATCCAACTGCTTTGGTGTATGTAAAATGTCACAGTTTTTATGCCAATATTATAATTTTGTTGGCTTTATCTTGACTGTTGTTATGACTGTTCTTTGATGAATTTGACAATGTTGATATCTTTTGAATTATTGAATTGTACTATGTGTATTGTTTGTTTTGCTTTATGTCACTTGGAGTCAGATGCCTAAAGTGACATAAAAAAGAAAGAGAACAAAAAGAAATACAATTTATTATTTGAATAACTGGCCAAGCATCTTGCCTGATATGTATATTTATTTTGGATGTTTTTATTGTTTTTATTTAAATGTTTTATTGTTTTAATTTAATATTTAAACAGTCGGTGTCATTGATTGAGAAAGGTGGCTAAAGAAAATAAATAAATCCATTTCCATACATTGAATTTGTAAGAAAACATGGATGATAAAAAATGTTATAGTTAAGGATCTTAAAACGATGTTGAACTATTACTAACACATGGAATTATTCTTAGTTTCTATATTTTAAATTTTTATTATGTTGTTTTATATTATAACCTAGTGAGAGTCTGTTTATGATTTAATTAGCATATAAATTGATAAATAAAATTATTATCACATGCATTTGTACTTTCCCATTCAGGAAGCAGAGACACCTGCTAATTACAGCCTTTTCCCCATTCATTGCCTTTTAATCACTAATGCTAGGAAGCTCATCAGGAGGAAGTTGTGTTGGATACATTTACTGCCTTGAGTTATTTGTAAAAATAATAATGGTGGGATGCAAATAAATACAAATAAATAAGTAAAAATAATCAGGAAACTTTGATTTGTTTGCTTATACTGTTTTGTTTAACCTTATATATTCTTTTTGACAACTTCACCTTAACCAAAAACAACAGAGAACTTATTCTACATAACCATTCTTCTCATTATTAAGCTATCTAGTTTTTACGTTCATGAAATTTTGGAGAATGTGAAACATTGGCGTAGGAATACTTTATCTAACAATGACTAGACTAAACTAGACTAGACTAGAATAGAATAGAATAGAATGGGATTTTGGAGATCTTCTAGTCCAGCCCCCTGCCCAAACAGGAGAATCTATACCATCTCAGACAAGTGACTGCCCAGTGTTTTCTTAAAAACTCCAGTGATGGAGCGCCCACGATTTCTGAAGGCAAACTGTTCCACTGGTTAATTAGCCTCACTGTTAGGAAGTTTCTCCTTAATTCCAGTTTGCTTCTCTCTTTGATCAGTTTCCAACCATTGTTTCTTGTCCAGCCCTCTGGTGTTTTGGAAAATAATTTGAATCCCTCTTCTTTGTGGCAGCCCCTCAGATACTGGAATACTGCTATCATGTCACCCCTATTTCTTCTTTTCGTTAGATTAGCCCACAGGTCAGCAACCTGCGGCTCCAGAGCTGCATGTGGCTCTTTGAGCCTTCCCCTGCAGCTCCCAGCCTCCTCTGCAATTTGCAGAGAGAGAGACAGAGACACAGAGAGGCACTTGCGCTTCCCTTCTCCCTCCCTCCCTCTCTCTCTCTCTCTCTCTCTCTCTCTCTGTGTGTGTTTGTAAAAAAGAAAGTGGACTCATGGTGTTCTCCGATGAGCTGAAAAGCTTACTGGGTGGGGCTCCTACCTTGGCTGCGTCTCTGAAGCAAGCAGGAAGGGCAGGAGAGAGCTAGCTAGCCCAGCTATGCTGGCTGAGGAATTCTGGGAGTTGAAGTCCATGAGTCACAAAAGAGCCGAGGTTGCCTACCCCTGAGCTTGTTGGAGAACAGCTTGAAGCCAGCTTGGCAGGTGAGCAGAAGATTGGAGAGAGGGAGAGAAAGAGAGAGAGAGGGGGGGAGGGAGAAAAAGAGAGAGAGGGAGAAAGAGAAAGAAAGAAAGAGAGAGGGAGAGGAAAGAGAGAGAGAGAGAGAGAAAGAAAGAGGAAAGAGAGAGAGAGAGAGAGAAAGTGGGGGAAGAGGACTGGCAGACCAAGGGCAGAAAGAAAGGGAGTGGGAGAGAGGGAGGGAGGGAGGGAAGGAGAGAGAGAGAGAGAGAGAGAGAGAGAGAGAGAGACCCTTTTGACATCTAAAATGAAGATAACACTGCATATACCCTTTTTTACCTTTATGATATCTATATCTATATAATGGTAAAAAAGGATATATGCAGTGTTATCTTCATTTTAGATATTAAAAGGGTTTTGCAGCTCCCAGTGTTTTGTTTTCGGTGGGAAACGGGTCCACGTGGCTCTTTGAGTGTTTTGGGTTGCCTACCCCTGGACTAGCTAAACCCAAGTCCTGCAGCCATTCTTCATATGTTTTAGTCTTCAGGCCTTGATCATATTAGCTGTTCTTCTCTGAAGGTCTCAACATCTTTTTTGTAGTATGGTGACCAAAATCGGTTGCAGTATTCCAGGTGTGGTCTCACTAGGGTTTTATAAAGCGATACTAATATTTCACGTGATCTTGATTCTATGCCTCTGTTTATACAACCCAGGATTGTATTAGCTTTTTTTGCTATTGCTGCACACTGCTGACTCATAGTAAAGTGATCATCCACTAGGACTCCAAGGTCCCTCTCACAGTTACTGTTTTTGAGCCAGCTCTCATCTAATCTATACTTATATCTTTGATTTTTTTCTGCCTAAATGTAAAACTTTGCTTTTCTCCACATTAAAACTCATTTTGTTGGATAGGGCCCATTGTTCAAGTTTGTCAAGATCTTTTTGAATCCCGAGCTTGTCTTCTGGGGTGTTGGCTATTCCGGCCTGTTTAGTATTATCTGCAAATTTGATGAGTTCCCCTTCTATTCCCTCATCTAAGTCATTAATGAATATATTTAAGAGTACTGGGCCTAAGATGGAGCCTTGTGGTATCCCACTGCTTGCTTCTCTCCATGTGGATATAGTACTATTGAAGACTACTTGTTGAGTACTGTTTGTCAGCCAGCTACAAATCCATCTGGTGGTGATGTTGTCTATTCCACCTTTTTCTATCTTACCAAGCAGTAGATTGTGGTCTACTTTATTGAATGCCTTACTGAAATCTAAGTATACTATGTCCACAGCATTTCGCTAGTCTACTGATTTGATCACTTTATCAAAGAATGAAATAAGATTGGTTTGGCATGATCTGTTTTAACAAACCCGTGCTGGCTACCAGTAACTTTGTTTGCTTCTACTTCTTCGCAGATCTGTTTTGTGATTATCTTTTCCAGGATCTTCCCAGGTATTGATGTTAGACTAATTGGTCTGTAGTTTCCTGGGGCTGTTTTTTTCCCCTTTCTTGAAGATGGGAACGGCATCAGCCCTTTTCCAATCCTCAGGTACTACCCTGGTGCTCCAGGATTTTTGAAAGATATGGTGCAATAGTTCTGAGATAACATCTGCCAGGTCCTTCAGAACTCTGAGATGTAATCTGTTGGGATCTGGTGATTTATATTTGTCAAGGTCGCATAGGTGTTCTCTTACCATTTTCTTGCTTATTTTAATTTTTGTTTCTAGTTTGTCTTTCGCAGTAGTTTTTTTGGTATATTGTGCTATATTTTCTTTTTGTGTGAATACTGATGTAAAGAATGAGTTAAGCGGCTCTGCTTTTTCCCTTTTGCTTGTTACTTCCTTGCCATCTTCTTTCTTTAGTGGACCTACAGGACCTACAAGGGACTGGATACGTCATTGTGTCCTTTATTTATTGTTAGCAAAAGTTCTTTTTTTCTTTTTAATGGTGCTGTATTTAATCTAAAATTAGTATCAGAAATAAAATCCCTGGCAAGTATTATAGAGTAAAGAAGAAACAGATGAAACACACTGTTTTAAAGATCTTATTAACATATAATTGAAACAATTGGAAATCTTTAATAATATCTGGCTCTAAGATATCTAAGAGATTGGTATGATTGCTTATACCAAAAATAATGCTGGCTATCATTACATTAGTAAAAAACAAAATACAAATACTGTATCATTTAAATCACAAGAACTATAGTTAACAGGCAATTGG